AACATTGGAACAGGCTGCCCAGGGAAGCGGTTGAGTCACCATCCCTGGAAGTATTTAAAAGACGTGTAGATGAAGCTCTTAGGGCCATGGTTTAGTGGACATGGTGGTGGTGGGTTGACGGTTGGACTCGATGATCTTAGAGGTCTTTTCCAACCTTAATGATTCTATGATTCTATGAATACAAACTCAACAGAAAAAGCCTACAGTCTCCTTTGCCTTAAAGAGGGCACCAGTTCTATCGTTCAGTTTCTGACCTTACTTGCTTACTTCTCCTCAACATGCCTTTCATTTCTATGAGTCCTTACAGAGAGGCCTGTGTAGAGTCTCAAGTACCAATGCAGGATCCTCAGTTGTAAATCTCAGGGGATAAAGGAAAGGGTGCTGACGTTCCCTAGAGGAAACTGCCATTCTTTTTAGCAACATATAACAGATGGAAGTTAACTGCTACTTGAATAAGTGTGTTCCATCCAAAGTTACCTGCAGTGATTATGTCCCTAAAAATAAAGCCTCTTCCGAAAAAAAAAAAAAGCTTTTTGTATGCACTTTGGGAAAGACTGAACTCACAGAACCAGCTCTTCCATCAGACACTATTATTACCTGAGATGAAAACCTAAAATCACATTTTAACATCTTCCAGATTTTAAAGAAGACTTCATTAGTAACTGATGGGTATTGAATAATTAAAGTCTTAAAAAGGAGATTTTTCTCATCACTGTGTGAATGTCAGAGCACATCAATGTGACTGATTCATATTTTAGCATTAACTCAGCATAAATACCAAAGTAAAGATTACAGATACTTTTTGATTTGAAAAGCTTTTCAAAATTGTCTTCTGCAAAATATCTCATTTTAATATCATATCTCATATAAATATCTCATATTTTTATCTTGTATTTTTAACTCATCGAAGGGAAGATTCCTTAAGGCATTTAATATAATTTTCTTGGATATATCTCTTGGTGAAATATTACTTGATTTTAAGCTTCTGATGAGGCAAGTATTTTGCTCTATCGGTGTGCAGCTCTGCCTTCTGTTTGAATGTGATTCTTCATTCTTTTTCTCAATCTTACTGTCTCCTCTAATTTTTACTTCTTTTTACTTTCACGTGTCTCTTGAAGGCATTAACTGTGTTCAGTAAGAACTTGTTTACACTTAACGTTTATTTTGAAGTTGGATTTTCTTTCTTGGATATAAACCTCTTTCCTCTATAGGAAGATTTCACACGTTTCTGTTAATAAAAAAAAAAGAAAAAACCCAGAAGAAATGAGTTAGGAAACAGAAAAACAAAGTGATGTGAAATTGTGTAACTTGCATAGTGTCAAATTATGGATTAACTGAACATAATTCTCAGAAACTCAAATACAACCTATACAGTGTTCAACTATTTCTGTAGAAATCGTAACATCTGACCCCCCCAGAGCCTATGAAGAAGCATTTCACAGTCATATACTTTGTCCTCACCATTTCCACAAATTCAATTTTTAGCCACTTCATGTTTTCTTGATTAGGAAAAAGACCCCAAATCCTTATTATTTAGAGTCCATTGCATTTAAAATTATAATTGTTTGAATACCAAGAAGAAAACAAACAAACAAACAAACAAACAAACAGCACTGAAGTCTCTTAGTTCCAGAAAGGTTTGTTATAGAATCATATAAAAGTTATCACAGTTCAACCCATTCGAAGTTTGGGTGGGGAAAAAAAGTGAGTATGAATAAGCACTAACTAGGCGCACGTGCATCCACTGTGCATGTAGTTTATGTGTCCAGCTGTGCTGGGTTGACCCTTGCCAGCAGCTAAGCACCCAGACAGCCGCTTGCTCACTGACTTCCCTCCACCAGTGGGATAGGGGGGTTAATACGAAGAACGAAAGTGAGAAAACTCATTGATTGAGATAAAAGACAGGTTAATAGGTGAGGTAAAGAATAAAAAAACAAACATCGCAAAGGGAATCACTTGCCACCGCCCACAAGCAGCCTGATGCCCAGCCAGTCTTTGAGCAATGGTCAGCTTGGAAGACAACTCCCCCACCATCCTTCTTCTTCCTCTACTGTTTTTTATTGCTGAGCACGAGGTTACATGGTGTGGAATATCCCTTCAGCCGGTTTGGGTCAGCTGTCCTGGCTGCATTCCCTCCCCATCTCCTGCCCACCACCAGCCTACTCATGGGGGCACGGGCAGAGAGGAAGAAAGAGCGAGCCTTGAGGCTGTGCAGGCAGGGGTCAGCAACCGCCGAAAACACTGGGTGTGAGATACACTGT